ACTGGAAAGGAGTTTAAAACTTTTTTGCATTCCTCTATGCTTATTAAACCTTCACCAAGATAAGAAGAATTGTTTGAAAGTGTTGGTATAGGTAAGTCTTCAAAGTGAAAATTAGGTTTATTTACTTCCGAACCATCTTGTCTAGATTTATAAAGATTTTCATAAAATACACACTCCGCTTCTAAGATCTTGAAAAAGTTTGTTGAGATAACTCCACCCAGGCGAAGCTTTCTGATATGATTCCTAACATGGTTTCATTTTTCTAAATTCAAAAAGTACTTTGAATTCCTTTCCCCATGTTCATGTCACCGTGCACGCGATCTGATGATTATGCCTTCCACCTTTTTTCATAGATGTTCCAGTTTTTCTTTCAAAACATTTAAAGCTGATAAATTTTCTTGACTGGGGCAGTTTTGGTAGGTTGCTGTAGCCTCTTGAAATTGTCTGTTTAGCTGTTGTTCCTCTAAATTTTGTTGTTTACATTTGTTTATCGAATACCATCTAGAGTATTTCTTAACCTTGTACTTTACCCAGTCCCATATGGATCGGGGATCACCTAGATCTTGCTTCCCTTCCTGTATCCAAGTGGGCAGGAGAAGATTTAATTCGTTGACATATTCCTTATCATTTAGGAGGGAACAATTTAATTTCCAAAACCCTGNCTTTTTTGCATTCCTCTATGCTTATTAAACCTTCACCAAGATAAGAAGAATCGTTTGAAAGTGTTGGTATAGGTAAGTCTTCAAAGTGAAAATTAGGTTTATTTACTTCCGAACCATCTCGTCTAGATTTATAAAGATTTTCATAAAATACACGCTCCGCTTCTAAGATCTCGAAGGGGTTTGTTGAGATAACTCCACTCAGGCGGAGCTTTCTGATATGCTTCTTAACATGGATTCGTTTTTTTAAATTTAAAAAGTATTTTGAATTCCTTTCCCCATGTTCATGACACCTTGCACGCGATGTGATGATTATGCTTTCCACCTTTTTTTCATACAGATGCTCCAGTTTTTCTTTCAAAACATTTAAAGCTGATAAATTTTCTAGACTGGGGCAGTTTTGGTAGGTTGCTGTGGCCTCTTGAAATTGTCTGTTTAGCTGTTGTTGCTCTAAATTTTGTTGTTTACCATCGAATACCATCTAGAGTATTTCTTAACCTTGTACTTTACCCAGTCCCACACGGATCGCGGATCACCTAGATCTTGCTTCCCTTCCTGTATCCAAGTAGGTAGGAGAAGATTTAATTCGTTGACATATTCCTTATCATTTAGGAGGGAACAATTTAATTTCCAAAACCCTGGACCTTTCACCTTATCTTCAATATACTGTAATTCTATTACTATTGCAGAGCGATCAGTTTTTATGGCTGAAATCATGTCAACGTGACAGACATCAGATAGAGAATTTGAAATGAGCCAATAACCCAACCTAGAAAATATTAAAGGATTTGATTGACTCCAAGTATAGCTGCGTTTTGTTGGGTTCTTTACTCG